TCTGAGTCCTTCTCTTGTAGAGTTTCACACTAAAATAATTATGAGTAAAATACCTGGGATTTGCTTCAGCATATCTGGGGGAAGAAATAGAGGTGAAAGGAGAGTGTCTAGGAGCCAATGGTTGCTATAGCTAAATGATGGCTACACGAAAGTTTCCAGATTATTGCACTTGTGTATGTTTAACATTTTCTACAGTAAAATAAGCATTTGAAACTGTAGCTCTAATAAGTACTAATACATTTTAAGCATTGATAATAAGCACAGTAAAATAATGTTTATTGCATACGTGGGATGTTGCATTCTCTCTTCTGAGCCATTTATATGTCAACTGAAGTTTAAGCTCTAACCAATGAGACCTTTGGCAGTCACTTCACCTGAATGTGCCAGGTTCTTCAACCTGTGTACAGGTAATAGTACCCATACTGTAGGGTTATTGGAAGGATTAAGTTGGTACATATTAAACGCTTAGAAGAGAACTTGACACATAGTAGAAGCAAAAGACATATTAGGGATTATTAAGAACCAATAGATAAGGATAATCCTAGCTATGCAGGAAGCAGAGATAAGAAGGATCACAGGTTAAAGATAGCCCAGGCAAGTGGTTGGCAAGACTCTATCTCGAAAAAAATCTATCACAAAAATAGGCTGGTGGAGTGGCTCAAGTGGTAAGAGTGCCTGCCTAGAAAGCGTGAGATCCTAAATTCAAACCCCAATGCACTCCCCCCACCAAAAAAAAAAGAATTACCTGTTACGAAAAAGTGTAAGAGTTATTCTGGTAATGTACAGCTGGTTAAAAGTTAGCCAAAATTAATTAGTGAATTTTAAGACATTTTTAATATACAATAAAACACCCATTCATTATACCACTACCCCCCAAAATATGTTAGCAAAACAAAAAACTCTGCTCAGAAGCTCCTAGACACCATCGATAGCTATAGCAAGGTAGCAGGATATAAAATCAACATAGAAAAATCATTAGCATTTCTATACACTAATAATGAACAAACTGGAAAAGAATATATGAAAACAATTCTATTTACAACAGCCTTAAAAAAAATCAAATACCTAGGTGTAAACCTAACAAAAGATGTGAATGACCTCTACAAGGAAAACTATAAACTTCTGAAGAAAGAGATTTGGAGAGGCTCTCCCATGCTCATGGATTGGTAGAATCAACATAGTAACAATGTCTATACTCCCAAAAGTAATCTACATGTTTAATGCAATTCCCATCAAAATTCTAATGACATTCATTAAAGACATTGAAAAATCTACCGTGAAATTTATATGGAAACACAAGAGGCCATGAATAGCCAAGGCAATACTCAGTCAAAAGAACAATGCTGGAGGTATCACAATACCTGACTTCAAACTATATTACAAAGCAATAACAATAAAAACAGCATGGTACTGGCAAAAACAGACATGATTATGCAGCCATGAAGAAAAACGAAAATGTTGTCATGCACTGGTAAATGGATGGAATTGGGAACATCATTTGAGTGAGGTTAGTCTGGCACCAAAATACCAAAATCATATGTTCTCCCTCATATGCGGACATTAGGAATCAGGGCAGAACACAACAAGGGGATTGGACTTGATGCACATGATAAAAGGAGAGCACACAAGGAGGGGTGAGGATAGGTAAGAACCTAAAAAAATTAGTCATAGCATTTGTTTCCCTCAATGCAGAGAAATTAAAGCAGATACTTAAAACAACGAGGCCAATAGGAGAAGGGGACCAGGAACTAGAGAAAAGGTTAGATCAAAAAGAATTAACCTAGAAGGTAACACACATGCACAGGAAATTAATGTGAGTCAACTCCCTGTATAGCTATCCTTATCTAAAGGTTGGGGGTGGGGGCAGGGGGGAGTAATGACCCAAGCATTGTATGCACATATGAATAATAAATAAATAAATAAATAATTCATTAGGGATCATTTACTATTACACTATAGCATGTATTTTCATCATTTTGAAATTTTAGAAGTTTGACAAAGAACAACATTGTACCTGCTCTCAGTGCTTAATACATGAAAGTAGGGTCCAACCAAGGCAGTAATAGCAAGAAAGGTAAATACAGAGACAAAAGTGATATTATTACATATAAAGATGTGGTCAACTACCCCAAAAACTTACAAATTATTAGAAGTTAAAATTTGCCATGTCAATAACTGAGACAAAGCATAAAATGTCAAAAGAACAGGTCATTCTGAGCAGTAACAGAGGCTCTCAAGCACCAAGGAACTAACCTGAAGTGAAATTGGCAGACACTATGTAGGAAACTATAAAGCCTAATTGACCTGAATAAATGGAGAAAAAGATACTCATGCTTGTGAACAGAAAAACTAAAAATGTGAGTGGGCCTGAATTTCCTCAAATCCATCTATACATTAATGCAACTTAGTTAAAATCCCAACAAAATTTTTCAAAATTTTGATTTCAAAATTTGGTTTCAAAATTGCTCTGAAACAGGGTAGAGTCATCTGGAAGATTAGAGGTATTTTAAAATGAATGTGTAAGTAAAAAATGAATTTGGGGTATAGCTCAGCTGTGGAACTAATGTATGAGAGCTAAATATTTACATTCCGATGATGATGAAGATGCAGGATATTTGGGATTCCCTACCAAAACCCTTCCTTTCTCTGCCTGTGAGGCTGCCTACTAATTCCATGAAACTTTTTCTTGTTCCATCCTCAGCACGAAAAAAAAATTCATAATACATTTGAAACGTTAAAAATGAGATCCATGTAAAGACAGCCAAGACTACTATGGAAAATTGTCTTTTTAGATAACAAGACTTTTGAAAACCTACCAGAATTAAACAAGTGTGGAGAGGCACCAAAAAAATAAACAGACTTAAGGGCCAAAATGAGTGTAGAAATCGGCTTGCATATATGAGATTTAGTATATGATTTTTAAAAACAGCTCAGGTTAATGAGAACAGATGAGATTATTCAATTACAAATGCTGGGACAAATGACTTTCCATTGGAAAAATGTCTAAATCAAAACTATCAAGATAACAATCAAAATCACAAAATTCAGATCAATTAAATTTTAAAAAACAGAAAATGTAGAATATCTTTAAAATTCTGGGCTACAAAAAACATTCTCAAACAAGATTCCCCCCACCAAAACAAACAAAAAATGGGTTATAAACCTGATTACATGTAAACTACACTGTATTCCAGTATAACAAAAATGACCCAAAAAGTTAAGAAAAACTAGAAAGTGGGAAAAAATTTTTGCAACATAGACTAGACACATGAAATAACTCCTAGCTAACATAGCTGGTGTCCAAAGTATACTAAGGTAATGTCAGAAGAGGAAATACAGATGATCAATAAACAATCAAAATTAATCCTTCTTGGGAGTCAAGCAAATACTAAACAACAACAAAATGCAATTTTTCACCCATCAGATAGACAAAAGCTTTTAAAGCAGTTTAAATGATGGAGGAAACAAGTGTTCACGTCCTGGGAGGAGAAAGAACAGGTAAAACCATATGGACAAGAAATATGGTAGTATCTTTAAAACTGAGAGTAGGTATAACCTATGACCTGGCTCTTCTGAAGCTCATGACATCCATGCCTGTGTGCACAAGATACAAACAAGATAAGTGTCACTCAAAAGGGACATGAGTAAATCTGGCATGCATGGCACAGGGGAAGTAATGAACTGTGTTGAAATGCAGTAATAGGCCAAAATCTGGAAGGCTGTATCTAATTTCATAATCATTTTACCTGTGCAAAAGTTACCTCTAAAGTTGGAATGGCGATGAAGGAGGACTTTGGTCTTATGATACATTTTAAACTTTTACACACATTTTCATTTCATGTAAGAATCAATTTAAAACTCCATACTTCTGAAGGGAACAATGGCATCTAAACACTAGACTTCCACCACCAACCAGCAACACCAGCTTGAGGAACTCATTTAATTCGTCTGATTTCTCATCACTCATAATGTGCCATCAGCAGGTTCCTGTGAAAACTGGAGTTGCCAACCTGGCCTGATGAAAAAGTCTAGCAGTACCTTTCTGATCATTTTCTCTGTGTGAGTGAAGCAAAGAGAACCATATTTATTTTTCCATGGATCTTAAGAATGTGCTCTCATTTGGAAAGTTCCGTGTCATTGCCAAAAATAATTACTTAATATGAAAGTACTTTTGAAAATTCTGACTTCATTTTGAGTGATATACAGTCACATTGTGCTTCATTACAAGGATAAGATCTTACATATGCATAGTTAGGTCATTTTGTTGTTGTAAAAACATCACAGAGTATATTACACAAGCCTAAGTGATAGTTGAGTGTTCTGTACTGTGCACCATTGTATATGCTGTACTTCTGAGTGGCTGGCAGCACTTAAACTGTTGCACTAAGAAGCTTCTGTGGTTATGATATCACTAGGCAATAGGAATTTTTCAGCTTCACTATAATTTCATAGAAGCATCATAAATGTGGTCTGTGGTTAACCAAATCATCATTATGTGGTGCATTTTTTTACTCTTCCTATTTGTAAATTCAACTTAACTGTTTGAAATTGTTTAAATTTTCTTTTCAGAGTAACAGGCCTAAGTCTGGAAGACTGCACCTACTTGTGTAATGATTCTTACCTTCCCAAGTTACCCCTAATGTTGAAATTGCTCCTGTCCCAATAGTCTAGAGTTAAGATTCTCATGTCACTTTGTCCTTTTGCCCCATCTAACTTCCCCCACTAAATCTGTCACTCTCTCAAGTCCACCTTTGAACCTCTCATTTCATCTTGGACTTCAAGCTAAGCTTCTAATGAGATTTCACTTTCAAAAATAAATGTCACCTTTATGCAAGCTTCCAAATTCCTCCCCCTGAACAGTGTTCCACTCATTTTTGTCTTCAAGAATAGATGTCGATATAGTCGATTTAGTTTGAAGGAAAATGCTTGATGGTGATTTCATTCCGCTGTCTAGTTCCTTCGTAAATCTGAAATAATGTCTTTCTTGTTCCCTCTCCCAGGTATGGAGCAGTTTCAGCAGGAATGTTATGTGCCCTTACCACCCTGTCCCAGCAACTGGAGAATGAAAATGCTGTGGATGTTTTCCAGGTTGCAAAAATGATCAATCTTATGAGGCCTGGAGTATTCACAGACATTGTAAGTACTTTGCTGACAAGCAAAACCTGTACCACATCAGTTCAGCCTCAGACTCACCCTGTAGGTTCTGTAGAGCAGCAGTTCTCAAGTTGGGGTAATTTGTCCCCTCAGAGGCATTTGGCAATATCTAGAGACTTTCTGATTGTCACAGTTGCAGATGCAGAGAGTTGCATTTAGTGCATAGAGGCCAGGGTTGCTGGAAAAACCCCTGATACGCACAAGACAACCCTGACAATCCAGAATTATCTGGGTCAGAAGGTCAGTAGTGCTATAGTTCAGAAACTGTGCCTTAGAGTAGGGGATTCAGTAATTATAAGAGATGGATGTTTCATTATTTTAGTCAACTGTCAATGTTGAGAACTGGCTCCACACCAATACAGATAAAGGGTTATGAAGTAGGTATAGATCTTAAAGAATTCAAGTGATCAAGTTTCTCAGGTAACATTTTGGCTATTCCTGTTTCTCTAGTAGGTTTTTCATAATTACGTTTTTAATTGGTATTTCCAAATTAGATGAAATAACTGTTCTTTGGCTCAAACAGTCTCCCTCTTGTTTTTCAGGAGCAATACCAGTTTGTCTACAAAGCAATGCTCAGCTTGGTTAGCACTAAAGAAAATGGAAATGGTCCCATGACAGTGGACAAAAATGGTGCTGTGCTTATTGCAGACGAATCGGACCCTGCTGAGAGCATGGAGTCTCTAGTGTGACTGGATTCCTGAAAGGGCACTGAATTTGTAAACTTCTGAAGACTGAGAACTTTTTTGAGGCCTTTTTTTGCCAGACTCTAGGTTATACAATAACCCAGTTACTTTTTTACACTGATAAAAGTTTTGATATTTATTTTTTGCCATTTTATGTCTTAATGGTATCCTACTGAGCATTTGCACCTCTGTTCATTTCACACAGTGAAACGCAGTTTCACCTAGTTATATGATCAGTGTTACTGCCTATAATCCAATACTAAAGTGACATTCCATGACAGCATACAAGCTACTTTTTAGTTCAGTACAGTGAGAGTCTTTGTTATAACAGTGAATCTTGGTTTTATTATTATTGCTAAAGCAGTTGCCTTCTACTAGCAGGCAGTGCTGTTGTTTTTCTTAGTCCTCCCCTCTTATTTTTAGGCACTGTTCAATTCTGTATGCCTTCTGTATTTTAATGGAGTGGATGGGCATTGTTTTCTTATTCAGAATAGCAGGCTATTGGGAACTACTGAGATGATCTGTCAACATCATGACCTTGAAATAGTTCCATTTATGATCGTTAAGTGAGCCATTCAGAAATTAGAAGGCTTAAGAGTTGCTTCATGTGAACATCTCTTATTAGTTACAAAGTTATATTCACAGCTTAAAAATGTGTCAAAATAAAGGATAACTGTATTACAGCTTTCACAGTAGCTATGTGAACAGTGTGTGTTATTTCCATTTTTGACTGTCTGAAATAGCTACACCCTAAAATCAGGGCTATCTTTTACATTTAGAAAGATGGCAATTATTTTACACAACTCAGTGATGGGACCCTTTAGTTAATCCCCACTAATGCTTTTAGTTTATACTACCAAAACATTATGTTAGGCAGAAGAAGGAAAAATCTTTACAGGTGTATAATTTTGAAACTAGTCCTCTAAAAATTCTTGCCTACTCATACAGCCATCTAATAAAAACTACCTATACAGCTAACATTCTTTTCTTTCCCTTTTTTTGCCAAATGTTTCATAATCTGAATTACACACATTCTTCTACACAAGATTAAATTGAAAATTTTGTATTAGCAAAATTCTTGGGACTATCTAAACTTCTACACATGAATAAATCTTATTGGGAAAGAGATAATTAGATACTGAATAAAAGGTGATAGCTACATTTTCAAGTACTTTTTAAGAGAAAGAGACAGCTTTGAATGATTTTGTGCAGTTTGGCCTCAAGGACACTGATGATCATTAGAGAGCCCGAGGTCCATATTAACCATATTCACCCCACAGTACCTAAGTGTTACTAAGAAATTCCAGTAGAGTTTATTAGAGGGGAAAAAAAGCTACTTAACTGAGATCTGTTTCTTCTGTTGCATGTGTGCTTTTGAGGGTCACTCTCTGTCAGATTTGAGATCGTAACCAGAATTGGATCTATGAAGAACAGGCTTTGGTTTAGTTTTTAATAGCAATCAACTTCAACAAAAAGGCCATAGTGGCTACTGCATTTTCTGGGTGGGCATTACTGCATGAATGATGATTAGCACTGAGGTTCTGTTTATCTTTTAGTTGATTGATCTGAAGTTTGTCAGAGTGGCACTGGAGTCCAAGGGTTTCAATGACTAGGCCAGTTCAATAGAGTTCTCTTGAACTATATAACTTATCAGGGTTCATCTCCTCTTTTTTTCACACACATCTGCTTTTCAAGAACTGTGAAGGCTAGTTGTGATAAAGGGCTGTTTGGGTGTGCAAATTTTGCGAGGTGGTGTGTTTGTTAGATGACACAGACTTTTTCAACCCCCGCTCCCCCATCAGAAGTGACACTGTATCTAACAAAAGGAAAGCTTGAACCTAGGAACATTACAACTGCTGGAAGGCTGAGGGGAATCATGAAGAAAAAGGTTTCAGGTTATGATAAAAGAGTCTTAGTCAATTAGGTGGGTTACTTTGGTTCAGAGTATTGATAGGAGGCAATGTGTTTCAGTTGATGGTACAGTGGCTTTGACATTCAAAAAGTAACATTCAAGTTTGAGTTCCTGGTCTCTCTTGAGTCATTTTTTTCTTAATAAAGTAAACTCTGCTTAGAAGACAAAAGCAAGTATTCCCTTCTGTGCCGTTAACAAGGGTACTCAGTCCATTGAAATGTATACCCTCCCCAACCCAGTTCTATGACTATCTCTTACTCTTTCTTGGGTAACAGAATAACGATGAAAGAGACAGCAAGTAAAGAGAACAGACACATAACACACATGGTTTAGAAGTTCTCTGTAAGCGACCTGTATGTCCACAGCAGGCTTGAACCCCAAAGTCTAGGGATCCTGACCACGAACTGTGAGCAGTTATTTGCCTATCTTACCAAAGTTGTCCAAACACCCCTCACTGAGGATAGTCAGAGTCAACAGTTCCTCACCTTCAACACAGTATCGTCACTATTACTTCATTTGTTATTGGCAAAAATATATTTGCATCTTTTCAGAGGCAGAGTTCTAAAGATGGTGTTTTCTTTGAGACATAAGCACGTTGCATAAGTACATAGCAAGGTTATTACCACTTATATGCAAGGGAAAGGAAATAACTATTGCAAGTTAATGTGTGCTACTTTATAAAAGCAGCTGTTTGTGGGTATGAATTTAGCTATAGGGGAACAGTGTGCATAACCTATAAAACTGGATTGCCATGATCAGACCAGGTGGCCGTGCTGGATATCAAAGACCTCTTGTTTCCACCAAGAGAACTTTCTTGCACCCAGTAGTCTCATTAAAAAAAAAGTTCTAGATTTCAAGAAGAATAAAACTGGTTGACTGATTTTCTAATCCATATGCCTTGCAGCTTTTAGTGTTCATTTCAAATAGAAGAGTCCGGCAAGGTCAAAGAAGGGTTATGAGGTTCAAGGTCCAGCTGTTGGAGGTTTTAGTCCAGAGTGAAACTGAATCAATAAATAGCCTAATTATTTTATGACACAGCGCAATTGCCTTGCTAGGACTTTTTCATAAATACATATATACTGTATTTAAAAATTAAAATATAGATACCAATTTACCAAAGATACATATTACTAATTCTGAACAAAAAAAAAATTAAAAGAAACCCAGACTCATCATAATTTAAGAGAAAATAATCAAAATGTAGTTGTCTTAAATACTTAGCAGTTATGCTGGAAAATTGCATTTTCAACTCCTGTGTTCTAATATTTCTTTTCAAATGGTGCCAGTGAATTTTTATATGAAGGAGAAAAAAATGCCTGCTTTTTTTTTTCATTTGCAGCTATAATTTCACTTAACCCTTTGTGCTTTCTCTTAGTTGCCATTTAACACACAATATTGGCTCTACTTACCTAGAAAGACGGCATGCTAAAAATAGGAAGAAATTGTTAATGATATTTGGCCTCTACTTTGTCTTAGCTGTTAAACTGTTTTTAGTATTTTTGTTAAATATTTGCAAAGGGAAGCATTTTCTACAGAGGATAATTAATTTCAAGAAAAATATCTTGAGTTTTAAGAAATAAACATCTCCAGAAAAGGAGACAGTCAATTTTATAAAATGTCACAACTCTCCAACATTTGGGGTAGTGACTCCTTTTTGTTAGGACATTTGAAACTAGCAAGCATCCATTGTTTCTACAGAATTCATCCTTCATGTTGACTCATGTTTCTTTCATTTTGATCTAGCTACAATTCTATTATAAAACTGTAAAATTTTGTTGCCTTGGGTAAGCTCATCTTCTGGGAACTTTCTGTATTCTATGGTATGAGTAATTATAGAATTTTAATATTCATATATAAGCTAATTTTTTTCTAAGTTTCTAATCTTCGTCATTGTTTTTTTTTGTTTTTTTTCTCTTCGCTGGTGGATATGTGAGATTCAAACTTTCTGTGTAATTGAAGTAGCCAGAACATCTTTGCATTCAAAATGTACTCCAATCTGTGTTATTTTCTTTTGCAGGCATGTGATTCGTGTAAAGGTTGTGGCTTTCTTTTTAATTCTGTTGACCATTTTGTGCATAGGTATATTAGACAGGATTAGAATCGAAATGTCATTTTCGTCACATTGAATCCATTTTGGCCAAAGTGATTTTTTTTTTAAATTTGTTCTGGGGGGGCAAGGGGGTTTATAAACCTGAAATTTTCCCTTTTTCTTCTGTTAAAACTATATCAAATTCATTCTAGTTATACGTGTTATTTAATATGTTAAATTGTTATTGCTAACAGTAAAATAAAGTAATGGTTTGTATGTACTCATTAGGTGTTTGCGCATTTTTATAAAATACGATATCCACTTAAAACTTAAGATTACTAGGTCCCTAATAGGTCACTATTAAGGAACCCCCAAACCTTCATACTTAACGTTTCCAAATTGTAGTAAAAATGACATTGAGTACGTTCGTCTTCAACATAGGCAAGCGAAACCAAAAACAAGTGACTTTCGCTTGGTTGATTTTATTCGAACTGTTCTTGCTCCCTTTTACGAGACTTTTAAATAAATGAGCCAGCACCCTGTGGCTCCCATACCTGTAATCCTATGCTACTAAATAACATCTCCAGAAAAGGAGACAGTCAATTTTATAAAATGTCACAACTCTCCAACATTTGGGGTAGTGACTCCTTTTTGTTAGGACATTTGAAACTAGCAAGCATCCATTGTTTCTACAGAATTCATCCTTCATGTTGACTCATGTTTCTTTCATTTTGATCTAGCTAAAATCATTAAAACTGTAAATATTTTGTTGCTTGGGTAAGCATCTTCTGGGAACTTTGTATCTATGGTATATAATCATAGAATTTTATATTTTCATATAAAGCTAATTTTTTTCTAGTTTCAACTTCGTCATTGTTTTTTTTTTTTTTCTCTTCGTGGTGGATATGTGAATTCAACTTTCTGTGTATTGAAGTAGCAAGAACCATCTTTGCATTCCAAAAGACTCCAACGTGTTATTTCTTTGAGGCAGTGATTGTGAAAGTTGGGCTTTCTTTTTAATTCCGTTGACCATTTGTGCAATAGGAATTAGACAGGATTAGAAACTGAATTCATTCGTCACATTGATCCATTTGGACAAAGTGATTTTTTTTTTTAAATTTGTTCTGGGGGGAGGGGTTTTATAACCTGAAATTTTTCCCTTTTTTCTTCTGTTTAAAACTATATCAAATCATTCTATTATAGTGTTATTTAATATGTAAATTGTATTGCTATACATAAAATAAAGTATGGTTTTTGATGTACTCATTAGTGTTGGCATTTTTATGAAAATACCGATATCCACTAAAATTAGATTACTAGGTTCCCTTAATAGGTCACATTAAGACCCACCAAACCTTCATCTTAGTTTTCATTGTAGTAAAATGAACATTAGTAGTCGTCTTCACATAGGCAGCAAACCAAAAACAAGTGACTTTGCTGGGTTGATTTATCACTGTTCTTGCTCCTTTAGAGACTAAATAATGAGCCAGCACCTGTGGCTCATACCTGTAATCCTAGCTACTTAGGAAACCGTAATCGAGACAATCTCAGTTTAAGGTCAGGTACACGAGACTCCATCTCCAAGAAAACCAGAACAAAATGAACTGGAGGTGTGACTTAAGCAATAGAGCACCTGCTTTGCAAGTGCAAAGCCCTGAGTTCAAACCTCAGCCCCACCAAAAAAAATGATAAAGTTTGATGTGCATTTTGAATCATACTTCATCTGGTTTTTTTACTCTCCTGGTATGTTGTAAACAATTCCTACTTTCTCCACTATATCAACACTTGTAGCAACTTTTCCCTTTTAACATTTACTATCTAGGATGAAGACTATATCCTGGCAACACTTTATGTAGGATCAGTACAAGTGCTCCTACTTAAACGGAATTCTCACACTTCAAAATTGATATATGAGTCCTTTGGTCTGCCAGTTCTCTCCTTCAATGGTGCCACATCAGGTGCTCAACTCTTAATACCAAGGTTCCACTCTTTCCATATAAGAGCTGATATTTCATTCTCCCTAAGTAAACTAGTGATTTATGAAACAATATAGTAATTCCTTCCAGGAGTATGTGGAAGTATGTAAGAGAATGTATCTTGAGCAGGAGGTGTGGCTCAAGTGGTACAGTGCTTGCTAAGACCCTCAGTTCAAGCCCCAGAACCACAAAAAAAAAAAAAATTCCTTTACAATACAGTTTTCCTCCAATTATACCCATGGGGACCCTAATACTCTTGTTTGTGACCATAAGGTCACAAAACAATGGCCTATAGATACTTTTCAGTCCACAGATACATTTTATTTGGCTTATAATTTAATTCAGATTAATTACCAACATTTAAATACTTTAAGATTTGGATTTAAACCTTCCAAAACTGTGGGTGGGCGTATGACAGCAGGGTCACAGTTCCCATGGCAATACCAAGCTGAAGAGGCATGGCAATTGTTCCTTTATGGTGGGGTATGTACTCAACCAAGTCATGACTCGCCCTTATCACCTTGTCTGGTCATCATTGGTCACTGAATTTACCTGCCTAGATCTGTGAGCAGTTGCCTCTGGGATATCCAATCAGAATTTGGGTACCATGTGTTTCTCAG